TTCTTACCTATTCGTTTGGCCATCAATTTATCTTTTGAATAAATATATCGTAACGTAACGTATATTTCTTAACTAACATAGAAAGAGTGCGCTACAGGTAATATAGAATTACAAACATCTTTCCGAAAATTATGTCCATTAAATAGTGATTATTTGTACGTATTTTTTTAAATATCCTTCTTTTTACTTACATGTTTTACATAATTACTAATTGTCATAATCTTCTTCGCCATACACACACACGCCGATGAACAAGGAAATTTCGTTAATATTTCAAAATTTAATAATAGTTTGGTAACATTTGTTTCGTTTGGAATACTAGTAACATAGCAGCTGTTGGCTACACTGTTCACTGAAACAGCGATACTTCACTTAATACGCGACGTACACAGAAATTTCGTTTTATGGTGTCATCGATTCGTGTTAAACATGTAACAGCAAGAAAGGTAAGATATGCTTTCAACATTAAATATTACTTTTTTTTTTAAACAAACACGATAAATATCTAAATTTTTTTGTAGGAGAAGAAAATCTCTCTATTTTGGCCGTATTCGGTAAAAGTAAATTGTCCCCAGGGGTGGGGTCTTCTGTCACTTAAAACCAAAGAAGTGAAAAGAGGTGAATGAGTTATGTCGATTTTGTAAAAAATAATATAATACAATCATGGCACGACCTATTGTACCTAGTCAACAAAAGTTAGCTGAGAAGCTAACTATTTTAAATGACAGAGGTATTGGGATGTTAACTCGCATTTATAACATAAAAAAGGCATGCGGTGATGCCAAATCAAAGCCTGGATTTCTTTCTGATAAAAGTTTAGAATCTTCTATCAAGACGATCGTCAGAAAGTTTCCTAATATCGATGTTAAGAGTTTGCAAACTATTACGAACCTTCGCAATGAGATTATTAAATCTTTATCTTTATATTATTATACCTTTGTTGATTTGCTTGATTTCAAAGACAATGTTTGCGAGCTTCTAACTACGATGGATGCTTGTGGTGTTCATATGGACATAACAATAAATTTTGACTTAACAAAAGGTTATTTGGATCTTGTTGTTACGTACGTCAGTTTAATGATTCTTTTATCGCAAGTGGAAGATCGCAAAGCGGTATTAGGTTTATTTAACGCAGCTCATGAAATGGTACACAGTCAATCTGATCCTAGCTTTCCTCGCTTGGGTCAAATGATTATGGATTATGACGCTCCATTAAAAAAACTTTCAGAAGAATTTGTTCCTCATTCTAAATTATTAAAAACTGCTCTCACCTCATTGTGGCCTATTTATCCTGAGAGAAATTTATCGGCGGATACATGGAGAGCGGATCAAAAGCTCAGCCTTGTTGGAAGTCCTGGACAAATACTTAAAGCAGCAGCAACAGACACTATGTCTTGCGAAACTTTGAGCTTAGATAGAATAGAAAGATGGGTTATTTTAGGTTTCACGTTGTGTCATTCGTTCTTAAATCAGGAACAGCCCGGTAAATTATGGACCACGGCTTTAGAGTCTGGTTGGGTGTTAGCCTTGTTCAGAGATGAAGTTATTTATATACATCAATACATACAAACATTTTTTGAAAGTATAAAAGGGTATAGTAAACGGGTATCGGAAGTGAAAGAATGTTATAGTCAAGCGGTGCAAAAGGCTGGTTACAGACACAGGGAAAGAAGAAAATTCTTAAGGACAGCACTGAAAGAGCTGGGCTTAATTTTAACCGACCAACCTGGTCTCTTAGGACCAAAAGCGCTCTTAGTTTTGATGGGACTCTCTCATGCGAGGGATGAAATTTTATGGCTTTTGCGACATGGCGTTAATCCTCCGACACAAGGAAAAGGTAAAGGAAGGGGAGGTGAGGACCTAGTGGATCGTCAATTGCCAGAATTACTGTTCCACTGCGAAGAATTAAGAGCATTAGTGAAGAAATATTCCCAAGTACTTCAAAGGTACTACGTGCAATTTTTGTCTGGATTTGATGCACCTGCTTTAGATCAAATGATACAAAACCTTCCAGTTTGTCCAGAAGACGAAGGAGCGATTCTTAGTGATATGTGTTCAAAGATAGCTAGTCTAACAGTCAAACAAGTGGAAGATAACGAACTGTTTGATTTTCGTGCATTCCGATTGGATTGGTTCAGATTGCAGGCATATATGTCTATCGCAAAATGCAACATGAATTTAGCTGATAATAGAGAGTTAGCATCTTTTATGGATACTGTAATATTTCATACTAAGATGGTGGATAATTTGGATGAAATGCTAGTTGAAACATCCGATTTATCCATCTTTTGTTTCTACAGCAAAGTATTTGAAGATCAATTTCACATGTGTTTAGAATTTCCTGCTCAAAATAGATATATCGTTGCATTTCCTTTAATATGTAGTCATTTTCAAAGTTGTACGCACGAACTGTGTCCAGAAGAGCGTCATCATATTCGAGAACGAAGTTTATCCGTCGTTAATATGTTTTTAGATGAAATGGCCAAAGAAGCTAAAAATATTATTACGACTATCTGTGATGAGCAGTGTAACATGAGCGATAAGTTATTGCCAAAACACTGTGCATTATTAATCTCTCAGGTTGTAAATCGTAAGAAAAAAGATAAAAATAAGAAGAATATGTATGAAATTCATAAACCGGGTATAGAGAGTTACAGAAAAACCAGAGAAGAACTTACCACAATGGATAAACTTCACATGGCATTAACAGAGCTATGCTATGCCATTAATTACTGCCCTACTATCAATGTATGGGAATATACATTCGCGCCAAGAGAATACTTGCATCAACATTTAGAATCAAGATTTGCCAGAGCACTTGTTGGTATGGTAATGTACAATTCAGATACTAGTGAAATAGCTAAACCATCAGAATTATTTGTGAGCGTTAGATCTTACATGAATGTTCTTCAGACGGTTGAAAACTATGTGCATATAGATATTACACGTGTATTCAATAACGCACTTCTTCAACAAACTCAAGAATTAGATAGCCATGGTGATAAAACTATCGCTGCTTTATACACGCAATGGTATTCTGATGTTTTATTAAGGCGAGTTAGCGCCGGAAATATTTGTTATTCTAGCAATCAAAGAGCATTCGTTAGTTTATCCGTAGAGGGAGCAATACCTTTTAACGCAGAGGAATTTTCTGATATCAATGAATTGAGAGCATTAGCTGAACTGATTGGACCATATGGTATGAAGATGTTGAATGAAAATTTGATGTGGCACATAGCTAGTCAAGTGCAACAGCTAAAGAAATTAGTTGCTGGCAATAAAGATGTTCTTATTGCTTTACGAACGAATTTTGATAAACCAGAAGTAATGAAAGAACAATTTAAAAGGTTGCAGCAGGTAGATAATGTGCTGCAACGAGTAACAATTATAGGCGTGATTCTAAGTTTCAGACAATTAGCCCAATCCGCATTGGTTGATGTCTTGGAAGAACGTATACCGTTTCTTTTAAGTTCGATTCTAGATTTCCGACATCATTTACCATCTGGTGATCCCATGCGTGTTGTTTCCGAAATGACTTCAGCCGCTGGTTTAACTTGCAAAGTTGATCCAACATTAACAGCAGCATTAAGAAGCCAAAAATCCGAAGTAGACGAAGACGAACATTTGCTCGTATGTTTGTTGATGGTTTTCGTCGCCGTTTCTATTCCGAAATTAGCTCGAAATGAGAATTCCTTTTATCGGGCGTCCCTAGAGGGTCATTCTAACAACATACATTGCATGGCAACTGCGATAAATAATATTTTTGGTGCATTATTTACCATCTGTGGACAAAATGACATAGAAGATCGTATGAAGGAATTCCTTGCGTTGGCATCATCCAGTTTGCTCAGACTAGGCCAAGAAGCAGACAAAGAGGCGATTAAAAATAGGGAATCGGTGTACCTTTTGTTGGACCAGATAGTTCAAGAATCACCATTTTTAACGATGGATCTGTTGGAAAGCTGCTTCCCATATGCACTAATACGTAACGCATATCACGATGTATACAAGCTCGAACATTCGCAGCCATAAAGTCATCGATAAAGAATGTGTTTTCAGCTTGCCACTCAGGGTCATTTTTTTTACGTCCATTACATTAAACATGGAATCAAAAGCATTTTCATCGACTCCGTTTAAAAACGGAAAGAAGAAGCGACGAACGTGGCAAAATATTCTATTTATAAAAGATATAGTTAGTAATATTTTGTTTATACTGCTTTAAATCGAATCGAATTCGATAAGTTTGTTTGGAAATGTATTTAAAATGTCCGAAAAGACAAATTTGCATTAATTTATTTAAAACAATGCATTTCGTATAGGGCAATACCATCACTTTCATATTTGATACCTGGCTTAGAATATTCGCTGACAAACGATACTACATCTTTTCAGTATTCTATTATACGTCATCTGTATGTAAGGAATGTTTTGTATTACAGGTGAATTATAAAACGCTATCTGTCTATGAATCGAAATATACACGTATCGTAAAATAGACACGTTAGAGACGTTCAATCTACATTTTCTAATGTACAATATTGTAACTTTTACAATAGTTTATAAAATAAATAAAAGTATCTACAAATTGTATTTATATGTATATGACGAAACCCTTTTGTTTTTACGTGGTTATTTTATAACAGCGAATAGCTAGAAAATAAACTCGAATATTTTAAAAATACTGTAAATTATACTGCGCTAATTTATAGAACTTGAAGTATTAATGAAATTACTTAGTCTTGCAAATCAAAGACATACATCTTTTTTGTCTCTCTAATATCGTTCTTTTCATTTGTCAAAGAAAATTTCCGATTTTCTTAATAATTTTTTAATCGATAAACATCGTCGCTCACACATACAATTTACGTTGAAAATTCAGATTTCCTAGACTATTGTATTGTTTATTGTCAATGAATATGACAGTGACGGAGGATATGGTAGAAAGTACAATTATATAAATGTAAAATGTATGCTTTATTTAGTTCTTTACAATGTTCTTGTTTTTCTTTTTTTTTTTATAATCACATTAACATAACACAAATGATTTACAATCAGATTCCTTTTATTTATAGTATTCTTTAAAACACTCGCCACGTTCTAGACATTGGGAAAAAGAGAGAGTGGTGGTCTGAAGCAACGTTCAGGCGATTGGTCAGTATCATGCTTAATAAAACTTACATCAAAGTATCAATTGAAAACACAGAGCTTAAAACTGTTTGTATGAATTAAAAATGAAATAAAACACTACGGCACATAAAACATAAAGGCAACTTGGTGATTTTGTGATATCCAAGTAATACTTTCTACACGTAGAACGTATGAACTCTTGGTGAAACGAAACAACATATGTATGTATGTACTATTTTAGCTAAAATCATATCGGAACGGACATGAAAAATTTAACGTAGATGAAATTAATCTCGGATGCACGATGTTGATAGGTCACCACATTTTTGGATCGATAGAAAAAATATAATCTTCGATTTCTTTTTGTTTCTTCCTTACTAACATTATGTACAAGTGATAAAGTAGTGTGCATTTCGTCACGATGACACACGTCTGGATTAAGATAGCTACTTTAAAGATGCTGTTTTTTGTAGACATTGAAATTTTCTTTTAATCGAAGAATTTGCTCGTGCCCCACAAAAATTGTTTATCACATAATGTGCTGCAAGATGCACAATTACCGAATAATGATAATTAATAATAACAATAATAATAATAATAATAATAATAATAATAATAATGATGATGATAGGACGCGATCTTAATCCAGACAGCGCAGATACGATTGAGCTTAAGCATATGTAGCAGAGACTCCTCGGAGACAAATGATGAATGAAAACATACTTTTGCTTTTTAATCGCTATAATTCTCTCGATACGGGCAAGCAACGTTTTTTGTCAACTAGACACTAGAATACTTGGTCCCATTCTACGCTCGTCTTAGGCTTCTCTTTTCGAAACAATGCCATTATTTCTCTTCCGTTTTCTTTTATTTTGATCTTGTATTCAGTCATTTGAATCGTTTTTATGGCAGTGAAATGGAAGCAAGAATAATCATGAACGGTATTGAAACCGATGGATTCACCTACGAATGAGTAGACGAATACGTCCTCTATGCATCGTGATTACTGATTAAACGGCAGTCGATACCTGACTTTTGGTGAAATCTCATAATCAGTCGTATCAAAAACAATAAATTATTGTTCCTTGTATTATCATAATATACGATAATTATATAAATACATACGATAAAAATGATGTTAACGTCACGTTAATTCGACATTTTCCCAATACATTTTCCCAAGTAGATTTATAGCGCGTTATCGCTTATACTTTGAAAAGTCGTTCGACCTTCTTTGCTACGCGTTACTACGAATGGCAGTAAGTTGTACTCATGGATTGCCATGAAACACTTGGAAATAACATAATTAACTTTTATGTTACGATCGGACGAGCGATTACAAATGGGACCAAACGGAATCCTGTTGCATCTATATGCAAGAAACTTCAAAACTGCTTAAATAATCTATCTCAAACGATCCAGTCCGGTCCACGTTGGATCGTCGTTAAAAAAGTCATTACCTTAAAAACCTAAGGGCTCGATTACACGCACATACAGGCATTCGTTCGTCATCCTTAAATTTCCGTCCCGATTACAAAATACAGGATAATATTTCGCTATAATACAGATTTGATATAAAAACAAGTATTTTTTTTATATTCGCTTTACCATTTGTTATGGTTATATAATTATCGTTTATGTATATATAATATCAATATATGTACACAGTTTAACACTCTCTCTTTTATTCTTTCACGCCCATTCTCTTCCCATACCTTTCCTTCGCTCTTTTGTTCTTTCCCACTTTCGCACGTATCTCGCATCAGCTTTCGTATGATCCACATTTTTTTTAATCACATTGCGACTATTGTACATTTCCACACGATCCGCAAACTCGTATTTCCTGCGATTTGGCGGACACCTCCTTCTTTTATCTCTTCATCCCTGTTAATGTTCCTTCTGTCTTGCACGACTCTATGTTTAAAATCGTTAAGTTTCTGGATCATCGTCTAAACGAAATCTATGTCTTCGTAGCGTATAAACTATCTGTCGTAACGTTGAACGGTATCTAATGACATTTTTCATCACATGTAGAACGAGAAGAAATAGGAGACACATTTCCTTATGAAAATATCGCGCTAAGCCTAACGATGTTCGATCAAAAACATTGGACAAAAGAAAAACCCTAGGTTACGATATTAATAAATCGTTATTATATCGCTATTGATAGTGATAGTAAATATCTGCACATTCGATTATTGCCTCGAATAGAAACACATGGAACAAATTGGACAAAATTTGCGCAAGAAGGTTCGACGAGGGACGAGTTAAAAAATTCAGTCAATCACGTATAACATTTTGGCGTTTCGAGAAAGGAAGTGTATATATCGCGTACAATTTAGTACGATTCGCCGTTGGACACGTGCGAATGTTGTTTGTGTGGCATACGAGTATGCAGCAGTGCACAAATGAGCCCATGTATATTAAAACACGTCTATATCTCAAAAGGAGGGCTCGTCTTTGGTCCGCGTTTACGGTACAGCCCTCTATAATTGTAAGTTAAAAACCATATTTAAATACAACTTATAACATTCGCGATAGCGAAGATAAATTATCATTTGCAATAGATAACTAATTAATAATAGTAATAGCCATAATAGTAATAATAATAATAATAATAATAATAATAATAATAATAATAATAATAATAATTAATAGTAATAATATCGTTAATAATCAGCATAATTATAATAGAACCGATATTATTCGATATCATTTTCAGCAGAATGGTCGTTAATGAAATATAACTATAAAAATTTGTTTCTTGATACTTTTCTCCCATGTTCATAGTCTCTCGTAACTTTGCTCGTTTCAATTGGCTAATAAAAATTAGTATAAGAATATTACATATCGTTAATTATTATACTACAATGGTAGAGATCAAGTGAATGACCTGCAATAGTTTGGTAATGGTAAACGCGCTCTTTCGCTGCGGAAAGCGGTGGTATAATCACAAAGACTTTTAGATTTAAATAAAATAATATCCTTATAGGCTATAACTTATGTATAAATGCATTAAAAAGGAAATCATATTTAAACATTTTGGCATTGCTTATTAATTATCTTTACCTATATTTGTATAAAAAACACTAGTAATTAAAAGCTTAACTTTGAACAAAGAACATGCATTTGGAAGAACATTGAAATAAAAAAAAAAAAAAAAAGAAGAGTCTGTCTTTTAAAATACTACTATAATAGAACAATGTACATAATAATCGCGTACAAGAGTTAAAAGGCACAAGGTACGTTCAATGGGAGCTTTTCAAAAATTACGGTTATCATCCTAACACTTATTCCAAATATATATTGTCGTCTCCGTTATCCCTTTGAACTTCCCTTCTTCTTCTAACCAACAGTCTCCATGTATGTATAAAAGTATGCTTTCCGGAGCGAAAAACACGCAAAAATTCGACTTCGTCGAGAAATCGAGGCATAAACGCTACTATGCAATCTTGGCCATAAATGTTTTTTACATCGAACGACAAAAATACGTTGCGTTCGATATTACTCAATATTGCTGTGCGAATCCAGCGTTGTCCACAGAAATAAATTTCCACGACTTCGATCTGTACATTGATATCAAAGAATTTCGCGGACAAAGAGATTTATCGAGAGCCTTGTAATTTTGATCGAGACACGAAAAATATTTAATGGCAACACGGAGGAATCAGCAGGAAACATTTAAAAGACGAATTACAGAGAATCGCATAATATTAGTCTCTTAACGATTTCTCAGTGTACGTCCAACCATCACGTCCAACGGCATCGTTCGTTTTGTTTTCGCAACGTCGATGTCCTCGTACGTTTGCCGATGAAAATCAGCTCGACAAAAGCTTAATGTCAAACGAGAAGTCTCGATATATCACCACCATTGATTATATAATACACTTGTTCAATTTACAATTTCCGAACCAGTTCCCTCGCGCGCGAGTTACTTGAAACGAAATAAAAACGTAGATCGGCGGTCGTCGGAACTTTCAAATGCTTTCGATCGCGCTCTGTATTCTTCCATTGATTCCGTCGATCTCGATTACGAGAGATATCGTATGTTGAGTGAATCGGCTCGTTTCACAGTTTGGCATTAAACAAGAGAACAATTTACGGTGCAACGTTGAGACCGTCTCTCGTCCGTGATAGTTCTCTAAGGTCGTCACACCTTGTTGTGATGCCTCATCTCGTAGGCTGAGGCCCGCCCCCCTCCCCCGGAGCCCGAAT